GAAATGTGTCACTACTGGTATAACAAGCTTTGTGTCATCTCTGGTATAAGTAGAAATATGTCAGCACTGGTGTAACCAACTTTGTGTCATGTGTCACCACTGCTATAACCAGCTTTGTGTCCTGTCTGGTATAAGTAGGAATATGTCACCACTGGTGTAACCAGTTTTGTGTCATGTGTGGTATAAGAAGAAATATGTCACCACTAGTATAACCAGCTTTGTGTCAACTCTGGTATAAGTAGGAATATGTCACCACTGGTGTAACCAGCTTTGTGTCATGTGTGGTATAAGTAGAAATATGTCACCACTGGTATAACCAGCTTTGTGTCAACTCTGGTATAAGTAGGAATATGTCACTGCTGGTATAACCAGCTTTGTGTCAACTCTGGTATAAGTAGGAATATGTCACCACTGGTAAAACCAGCTTTGTGTCATCTCTGGTAGGAAGGTGTCACCGCTGGTATAACAAGCTTTGTGTCATGTCTGGTATAAATAGGAATGTGTCACTGCTGGTATAACCAGCTTTGTGTCATCTCTGGTAGGAAGGTGTCACCGCTGGTATAACCAGCTTTGTGTCATGTCTGGTATAAGTAGGAATATGTCACTGCTGGTATAACCAGCTTTGTGTCAACTCTGGTATAAGTAGGAATATGTCACCACTGGTATAACCAGCTTTGTGTCAACTCTGGTATAAGTAGGAATATGTCACCACTGGTGTAACCAGCTTTGTGTCATGTCTGGTATAAGTAGGAATATGTCACTGCTGGTATAACCAGCTTTGTGTCAACTCTGGTATAAGTAGGAATATGTCACCACTGGTATAACCAGCTTTGTGTCAACTCTGGTATAAGTAGGAATGTGTCACCACTGGTATAACCAGCTTTGTGTCATGTCTGGTATAAGTAGCAATGTGTCACCGATGGTATAACCAGCTTTGTGTCACCGATGGTATAACCAGCTTTGTGTCAACTCTGGTATAAGTAGGAATATGTCACCACTGGTATAACCAGCTTTGTGTCAACTCTGGTATAAGTAGGAATATGTCACTGCTGGTATAACCAGCTTTGTGTCATCTCTGGTATAAGTAGGAATTTGTCACCACTGGTATAACCAGCTTTGTGTCAACTCTGGTATAAGTAGGAATATGTCACTGCTGGTATAACCAGCTTTGTGTCAACTCTGGTATAAGTAGGAATATGTCACCACTGGTATAACCAGCTTTGTGTCAACTCTGGTATAAGTAGGAATATGTCACCACTGGTGTAACCAGCTTTGTGTCATGTCTGGTATAAGTAGGAATATGTCACTGCTGGTATAACCAGA